AATAGCCAATTGAATTGGTTTCACATTCCCTGTAAATTTTACTTCTTTCACAACTGAACGATAGCCAGTCTTAATATCAGTTTTGGACTGTAAGGTTTGTGGAATTTCAAGAATTTTCAGTTTTGGTGATAAAATGCTTGTCTCATTTGTTTCACATTCGTCAAAAAAGTGAACAGGTCCCATAGCTGTTTGATAGAAATGTAAAGGCTTTAAAATGACTGGTTTTACGGGTAACGAAGAAATTTTACTTGTACCAGGGGTGGGCTCTAAATAAGTTGGTTGTATATCTGTGGCGGTTTCATAAAATTGTAGGGGTCTGACAACTACGTTATGTTCAGAAGGCTTTGTGAGTTGAGTATTCAATTCTCTCTTTTCAATTGGATTTTTTTCTCCTGATTGTAATGGCTTATCGTCAACAAATTTAGTGTTTGATGGTTTATTGGTACCAAGGAGTTTCATAGGCTTCACAATGTTAAGATATTCTGACTCTATACCTATAACAGGCACAGTGATCTTAGTTTCAAAACACTGAGTTTTTTTCAGTCTTCGCTTGGAACTAAATAATTTATCGTCATAATCTACAGTCTTCAAAATGTGTTTTTGGCTTAGTATTGGAGTATTTTCTCTTAACTGCAAAGCCTTGAATACTGCAAACCTCGATAGCGATTTAGGATTTATTTGTTGTGTTTTAAATTGCAGAGTTTTTAACAGCATTGGTTTGTAAACTCCTGGCTTTGAAGGTGACAGTCGTTTAGTCATGATCCGGCTACGTCCGATAAACTTTCCACTGGCTTTTATTTTCGGCAAAGTAACATTGTCATAGTCTCCATAGCTATCTGAGGTATCTTCAAAGTGAACCGATTTTATGTCTTCATTTTGTGACTGTGATTCATTAGAAATACCCTGGCTTTCATTAATAATGTGCAAAGACTTCAACAACATTGAATTATCACCTGTTGCCCACTTATTACTTTGTTGTTGAACTGTGTCAACCTCTAAACCATGTCTGAACGTTGATGTTCTTTCGTTATGCTTGCCCTTAGGCTCGTTGCTCGACTGTAGATCAGTAAAGTCCTTACGGGGCAATTGTGAAGTTATACATCCACTTACGTCAAAAGTGCTGGTAATAGCAGAAACAGTCCCTGAATTATCTCTTTGTGTTTGAGAGCTCTCGCAGTCATTTCCGCTTAAAATTACGGGCAGACGATTGAAGTGCCCTTGGTTGGTTTCTGTCACGTAACGAATACTTGTATTTTGTACTCCTCCTTTAGCTGTGAGATTGTGAATTGCATCATCGCTGCTTTCTTGTTCACGTTTCGAAGACATTGCTTCAAATAAACACGAATAAAAATGTTATGTAAGGACGTAGTCTTAGAGTTTCTTTAAAGGAATTTGAGAATTTAATTTCACAAACTGAAGGAAATAAATGCAATGTAAATACTGAAACATGATTTCGTATTTTTGCTTTTTCACAATCGGAATTATTTCGAGAATGGTTCAAATTCGAAAATTTGAACTGACATTTGACTTTATTCTTTTATGCTATAGAAATGGTCACTGAGTTTCTATTTTGTCGTAATGTTGTAGCATCCAAAGCAAAGTCTCTCAAATATTATACATATATAAGTAAAATTCGACTGTCGACCTGTGAATTCTGAATTATTAATGATAATATCTAGGCGGCGCGTCTCTAAGCACACAATTTTTTTCTTAGTGTTTGATCGTTGTTATTAATAATTATATATTTTTAGTTTTTTATGAATTTTTGTCTGTCTCGATAGTTTGTTTTTATATTAAATAAATAAATAAATAACGTACACACTCAACATAGCCCCGCACTAGGGAAACCCTGTGTCGCGGGTGCCATGGACACACGCATAGACAACCACAAATTACACCCAAACTCACGAGAGAAATAAATGTAAGCCATACAAACATTTCTCCCGGCCCGGGAATCGAACCTGGGACTTCTGCGTGGCAGTCCGGCATGGTAACCGTTCGGCCACGGAGGCAGTTAAAAAGTTAAGTTATTCTGATGACACCAGAAAGAGAGCAAACTCGTCTAAGAGGCTCCTATTTCATAAAATTTTAGAAGCACTAGAGCTCCTTGCGAAAGAGTTCGTCAAGGGAAGTACTGCCATCTTACCTATTTCTGCCGCCAAGCAGTAATGTCAGCATTACTGTGTGACGGTGTGATCTCCTTACACCGTCATCTCACCTTTTTGTATCGCCTCTCTTCGCTTGTATCCTATCATTTTTTCTTTTACTTGTATTTAAATTTGAATTCTTCCATCTTCCTTCGCTTTCTCATTTTGTTTTCGTACCACGGTCACTCCCAGCTCGACTTTCACAACAGTCGGAGCTGTTTCAAATTCCATCGCGTATAATCGCTAATTTTGGTTCTTTACTACGTTTATAATAGTCATTAAATAAGTTAAATCATTTATGATCAATAAGTTTCATTGCCGTGAACCTGGTCACGGCTAGTTAGGGTTACAACCCTTTCAACTGTGTTCAGGTTTTGAAGGGTAAGGGTGCTGGTGGAATTACAGGCAGTCTAATAAAAGTAAAGAGCACAATTGATTACAAAAGTAAGTGGTGTCTTTTTTGTGTTATTCATAAAGTAATTATTGTAATTGTACTAATAAGGGTAATATTCCGTACTTTACTAAGAATACATACAATAGTACCTACATGAAATCATACACTGTTGTAACTCAAAATTGAGAAGACACGATTCGAAAATGAAAAAAAACCTAAATGAAACCAATATACAGGTCGGTGCTTTGTAGACAAGAGGGCGAAAGCGCCATTTCGAAAAAAAAATACAGGGAAACATGTTTTAGGTTTTAACGACAGTTTTAAAATATTTACCGCCTGTTTTAAAATTCAGATTTGGTTTTAATTAAGTTTTAAAATTAAATTTAAAATAAGTCGTACCTAAATGGTTTTAAAAACGTCGTGAAAAACTAGAACCAGCCTCTGGAATTTTTTTTTGAAATGGCGCTTGCCTTTTCCACAAAACGGTGGGAGTTAATGCGTGGTGAAGATTTATGCTGGTCACAGGCATGAAAGACCGTTTACAGCAAGTGTTCGATTTTGAATGTTGAAGTGGTAATTGTGTAGTTTTTAATAATAGATAATATTATAATTGTAAGTCATTGCTAGGCAAAAATAATGTAAAGTGTGAGTGATGTTATTGTTATTTTTGTAACATCTATTCACTGCACTGCATGAGGTTATAATTTTGTAAAAATGCAGCCTGTAAAACTATAGTTCGTTTCAATTCATTTTGCATAAAAGATTACCTATATAACATGTTTCAAATAAGATTTTACATATTATTTACATACATGTTATTCAAATTAATGTATTGGAAAAAGTGGTGAGATATCAAGTTGAAATCTTCAAACATGAATGCGTAAGGTATTCCATTAATTGAATGATTGTTTAAGAATTTTAACCAAATCGGGTCGTTTACTTTTCATGAAAAATATATTAACACTAGCTATATCTACCTTAAGTAATAAAATTAGTTTTCTAACGTTTTGTCAATATCGATATATTTGTGAGTTAAAAAATATAGTAGTTACTGATTAGTGGCTGAGTTGGTATAGCGTCTGGCACGGTAGCTAGAAGACGTCGGTTCGAATCCGGCTGGATCGAAGGAATTTTTTCTGAGTGTTCGAACTTTGTATTAATAATTATTAAAATATTAGTTGAATTACTCAAGAAGGTTACTTTTATTTCATTCACCTAATGTTTGTGGGAGATGATTCACTTTGAGAATCTAACATTCTTAGACATTTCTTACACCTATCCAGAGGCTAAAAACAAAAAAAATACAATAATATTTTATTTTTAATTTGACTCGAACCATGCTTGCCTCAACTTGCAAAGCAATCCGTATACCGCTAGGCCACGACGTCTTACTCATAGATTTAGTATATTCTTTACTATAGCTGGTTGCAATTTGTATTCTGTAAGTAAGAACTATACCTTAACGATCAAATTGGCTTAAAAACTTTCTACAATGTCATTCGCTAATGAGACGGCCATACCAAAATAAATTTTACGGCATACGGGTTAAAGATTTAAGTTTGTTTAACAATTTTCCCCACATTTTTGTGCTCAGAACCGAAAGGTCGACAAAGTCGGCTTTTTTTGTTTTTGTATTTGGCTTCTGTCCCACTAAGGACAATTCTGCCAGTGTCGGGGTTGAAAGATACACGGTATATTTATCAAGATTAGCAGGAACGCACTCAAACGACGATGGTCGGTTGCACCATCCTATGGACAAAGGCAAAATACGGGGTTATTTGACTTTGTTATTTGGATGAAAAGCGTAAACACATGCTGTGCATATAGTAAATGTTATAACCGTATGTTATTTTGTTGAATACATTTAATAGAATATATTGTAGAGGAGGTTTTAGGGGAGAAAGGATACTATAAAAATTTGTGGATAGTCGGTTTGGGGGTCAGGTATTATGTAAAAACCTGTACATGAAATATTTGACGGCTCATCATTGAGCGCCATCTATATCAACGCCTGGGAACTAGTCTCACACTGTCATTCTAGCGGAGCGTCGTCGTGTCGATGGTCGGCGCCGCCGTGTGGCATTCTGTTTGAACGTCAACGGACGGCGCACCAAGTATTCCGCGTAGGTAATCTATTGTGTTTTGTGCTAATTTGAGATTTATAATTATAGAAGACTCTATGAAGACTTTCGAGTCATTTGACTATTGTTTCCGCCCGTGTATCCACGTGATAAAAAAGCCGATCCTCATGACGGATACCGCCTTTATATTGGTTCTGTTTCACTATTTTATTAACTCGTAGAAAAAGTATTGCATGCAATCATTACATAATTAGGTCTTAAAATTTCGTACCTTTCACTTAGGCCAATCGGCAAGAACCCTCATTAAGCAACGATTGCATAAAAACTATTTTCTTATGGTTATTTAAAGTTTATTTACTTATTAAAATGAATGAATAAAACCAGTTGCAAAATCTAATTCTTTTCAAACGGGTAATAAGGATGGTCGAGCCACTTGAGTTGCGATATGGTCCTATGGTTTCTGTCGAAGCTCTTGAGCAGTTCCTTCTCCTGCTGGGTCAACTGGAAGTCGAAGATTTCGATGTTTTGTTGTATGCGCGTTTTTGTTAACGACTTTGGAAGAGGCACTACTCCAAGTTCTACCTGGAAACATTACAATACAAAATATGGTAAAATTAACAACTTACATAGTTTTATTACCTTATTGACCAAATATTTGTGGCAGTAAATCGCGACTCGAGAGGTCACTTTGTGGGACATTGTGACATAAACATTTTTATTAACTTATTTGTGCTGTGCTTGTCTCACACGGATTGATTTAAAATGTTTTATGCGGTCGGTGCACTAGCGGCAGTTTGCAATTACAACGTCGTTCTGGCTGAGTACGATCCTTCTTAGGACATTCCAAGGTTAAGTGAACAAATTGTTCTGTGATTATCCCGCGACGCGGTCATACGGTGACAGTGGGTGACAGGTACAGCAAAGAAAAAGAAGTATTGCGCGGGGTGCCTCAAGGTTCTGGGTGCGGACCAGTCTGTTATCTGATGCATGTGAACAGTTTGTATGACGTACTAAGACACTGTACGGCGCTCATGTTCGCTGGCGATCTACCTGTGCTCCGAGCCGGAATGGATCTCGAGCAAATCTGCCTCTTCGTACAATTAGATGTAGACGCGGTTATTAAGTGAAGCCTTGATAACGGCATTGTTTGAACACCGATAAAACCAAATTATTGATTGTTCTCGCCCACTCATTTGAATGTTTACATTTACCTAGATAGAGAAGCCAATAGAAAGAGTAATACGTGACGACTCACAAACGTGTACGTTCACAACGAAACGTACCTACTTATGTCGGCCTCAAAGTAAATGAACATTTTTCTTGGGCCACTTACTTAAATTTTATTTGTAACAAGTTAATAATACTCTTGGGTACTTCTATCGCTTACGTTTCCAAGTGCCAACCAGCACGTTAAAATGTTTGTGGTATTAGTAGACTTAAACTTACATTTAAATCATACATTGACATTCTAGAGAATATGCAAATTAAGTTTTTAAAACTTCTTGTAAACAAAATACAATAACAATTGTACAATAACGTTCTATTTCTCTGTTAAAAATTTGTAATCTGTTTGTGTTGTAAAATAAAGTTTTTACTCTTTTTACTTTTTTTATTTATATTATATTGTTTGTTTTACTTTTTTAAAAACAAAAGTGAAATCTAATGGAGACTACTCTTAATTATTCAAAATTTGTAAAATTCTTCCGGTTAATTTACAACATAAATATCTTCTCTTATCAATAACCATAGTGCAGAGGTGCGTGACTCGTTGTTGTGTACGGTTGGTAACAACTATAATACAAGGTCGATGACCTCTGGTAAATTTGCAATCCCAAGAGTGACTAACTACTACGGAGATAAGACCTTAAAGAAACGTATTCCACGTATTAAACATTAGACGTTATTAGATATGAAACTAAAGAATGTACATTTAAAAAAATGTTGAAAGATCATTTATTTCACAAATTTTTGTTGAATAGTTTAAGTATTTTTAATCACATTGATTGTCAGTTTGTAAATTTTTGCTCAATTATTGTGACTCGTTTCGGACTTTCGGTACTGCAGTCAAACTGTATTTAGGACCTAGACTATGGTATTTTTCCATCCTCTGAGATAAAGGACTATGTTTAGTTGAGTAAATTGTAGGTACAAATTTTTCCCCTTTCTAAATTCTAAAAAAAAAAATTTTGATTATACGGACAACGGCACATCAGATTACACATTTTTGTTCGAAAATCGCCTCCAATGCAACGGAACAAGATACGTCAATGTGTAGCTTAATGTGCTGGCGTGTGTACATTTGACAAAAGTATTATTTGATTTGACGAAAACAAGAGACATTGCTATCAACAGGGAGCTGTACCATGAAGGGTGGATTTACTGCTTTCTTCTCGGAGGAGATTCTCATTTTACGGACAATAGTATTACTGAATTCAAATGTTTCTCGTTTTTATTTCAAGTGGTCTTCCATATAATCTGGGAGTCCGAATATCACTAGTTTCGTCATTCTCTCTTTTTTCCGGGAGAAGGTGATATAAGGAATGTTTCCAAAACGCAAGCCTTCTTTTAGTGCCTGAAGATTTTCAGGGGTGTACTTACTACATTAGCAAAACTCATAATAAATTAGAGTACGTAAATTGCAGCTCGTCAATATAAAACAAATTTAACTATTTGGTATTCGACGCGACATCTGGTGGACCAATAGGGACGAAATACTCGACTACGCTCTCTTGTATCGCGATTAGCTCTTGAGTTCATTGGCGACAGTTCTAACACACGTCACATGTTCAGATACCCATTGACACGTCATTGGCCCAGCATCCCTCTCAGCTACCGTCCGAAGGAGGCCTCGCACCCTGCATGAGGCATCAGGGCCACTACCCGCTTAAGTATGCTGCTGAAACCGTTCACGTGCGCGTCAGCGAACACTCCTGATGAGCTACAGGAGCGCGGCAACTCCAAAAGAACATGAAATGCCGAATAACTCTGGATTTGAGGCACTCTCTGAGTTTGAACGAACAACAATAAACACGTCTACTATTGGATGTCATTTTTTAAATACGGTGGCGTCATGGCGTGTGACGACCCTTGCAGATCAACGCGAGTGCACCGCCAGAAGCTAATCCGTGCCGCAGGCGCGCACACGTACAAGCGGCGCTGCTGCTACGTTTCTATGGAGATACACTACTTATTATACTTTGACTTAAGCCACGGCGCAAGATCGTAATTAAGGTCTAATCAATCAAAACGAAGGTTTTGGTCACTTGCAAGAGTACACTTGGATTCCAGTTAATTAAAATTGATATTGGAGTCATCAAGCTACTTACAAGATATCTCAAAGCAATTTGCGGTACAGTTTTATTATACTTGTTGGCGATGTCAACGAGGCTCGGGTCATCGACCCTGGGTGGTGGCGCACCAGCCTTTGCCTTGCTGTAGAACAGCGATCCGAATGGTGTGTACCCTGTCACCACTATATTATGGTCTTTGCAGTACGAAAGGAGAGAAGGTTGTTGAAGATTCAGGTTTAACTGAAAAAAAAAGTAAATGCTTTTTTAATCTACTTCCAAAGTATTAAGTGACAGAAACTAAATTAACATTCGCATCGGTTAAGCGCTTAACAGGAATGTTTAAGGAACCAAGAACGGAAGTTGCCATTAATGTAGAACTGGTCAATGACAACAAAACATAATACATAGTAACGGTTTAATAACAACTTCTCCATAATGAGCCGACGACTGTGAAACCTAATGTTGTGTCATTTGTGCCTGTTCAATAGTCAGCCACGTGAGTAGAGTACCTGTACTCTGTATCAATTGCCCAGAAGGCCCAGGCTTAAGACAGGCTTCACAACAAGTGACATGATCAAATCAGCAAAAGGACCGGAACCGTTTACTAAACCGTTAAAAGCGTCAAACAACAAGTTGGTTATCAGGGCTCGGTACTCGGAGATACAGGATAACAGATGAGCTTTTATCTTAGAATCACATCTAGAAGTACTTCAGTTTAAAAATTGAATTGTCGGACGGAATTGTCTGAATTATTTGCGACATTGGTTCTTGTACGGATTCATAAAGTCAATTCAAACCGATCCGCTCTTAGATTAACGTCAAGATAACTTACCTCAACCTGCAGCACAGCGGGTTTATCCAGGCCTTCCTTGATAATCCTCTCGATCTGTTGCTGGTTAAAGTTGGACACTCCCACGGATCTTGTAAGGCCTAATTGTTTCGCCTGCAGCATGCCGCGGTACGTTTCCAGGTAATCCGTTGTGTCGTACGTCTTATTTTCCTGCAAAATTTAAGATAATTTCAACAAGAATGAACTGGTGGAAGGCAATTTTAATTTTATTGTCAGCAGGAGAAGTTCACCCTACAATTCTTCATCATTTGCCGTCTCACGCACTACAAACCAGGTGCAAAATATGCACATACATACACACAGCAAAATCGATCAAATAACAATACCGTACAACACAAAATCGAAAACTCTGTTTGGTCTTTGTATTAATAATTATAAGAACTAGTGGAGTAATTTCACAAACAACAATTGTATGTCATGGTAGTACATATCGTGGCATTCAATAAATTTAATTGCTATGATTAAATCGACATCTAGTCAGCTGCTGGTAGCTGTAAAGGTGCCGCCCGCCGACATCGGCATACTTGAAGTCTGTTACTTTTTTGTACTTACGAATTGCCCCACCGGCCAGTGAATCAGGTACAAGTCAACGTAACTTAAATTCAGGCTGTTCAACGACTCGCGCAGGGCGGGGACCACGGCGTCCTGAGCGTGTCTGTCGTTCCATAACTGTAAGATTGTGGTAAGTTTTGCTTATTACATTTGTGATATACGCTACATTTGCGAACACAGATCCGAGAATCCGAGAATCCGTATGAAATTCTAAGATAGATCGTCAATCGCCGCAACGGGTGTTTTTTGAAGAAAACGCTCCCTATTTCTACCGCTTAACATTGCATTGAATAACATTCTAAAATGTAAATATGAATTACGCACTAGGGTGACCCGGTATCGCGGGTGCCGCGGACACACACGTAGATAAGCAAAAATTGCACTCAAACTCAAGAGAGAAATAAATGTAGGCCATAGAAATGTTTCTCCCGGCCCGGGATAGCTCTGCGTGGCAGATCAGCCAGCGGTTACTACAACAGTTTAGCCACGGAGGCAGGCAGTTGTTACGCAAGCTCACGCAACTAGACTCAGGTAAAGCAAGTAATACTGACCTTGGTAGTAATAAACAGGTCTTCCCTCTTAACGATCCCTCTTTCGATGCACTTGGCGATGGCTCTTCCCACCTGGTCCTCCACACGGTATATATAAGCTGTGTCAATGTGCCTGTAGCCACATTCTATAGCCCACGTAACGGCATCTTCAACCTCGTGGCCTGTGGGTTGAATGCGGACCTGAGAAACATTGATAAGCGCAATAATACCTACAACATAGAACTTTCAAGGTGCGAGTGAAAAGGCGCCTTCAAGGCAAACAAGTTCCACACTCGACTATAACGTCATTTTCCATTAGCTGAAATGAATTGGAATAAAATACTAAACCAATTTTAGAACTTGAATACAATACATTTAGTGTTGATCATAGATTTACGCTTTACTTTGCAGAAATCCATGTTATAAAAATGGAAGTAAATTTAAAAAGAAGAGTTGTCATGTCCCGAGAGTGCTTCGTACTTAGATAGGCGAACCAGTGTCGAGGGTATTTTTGGTGGTTTTTGTGTGGTGGTGGTTGTGATTATAGTTGAAAATTATGTAATGAAATTTTGCACGATGCAACCCTCGCTGAGAAGCAAAGTGATTTACTTCCATTTTTGTGTCTGGTTGTTATCATGCGAAGCATTTTCTATTGCGTCATTAATCGAAAATAAATCTTAATTTGTAAGTGTGAGAAATATGTCACTTACTTCTGTGTTGTTAGTGATAGTGAAGCCGAGCCAAGTGCCCAACGCCAGAGCGGGCATGTCCGTCCCGTCGTTGAGTTTTACCGTAGGCGCTAACACCGCCTCGGAAAACTACAAAAAGAAATCACTACACTAATACACCCACATCTACAAGTAACATTTCTAACGTCTAATTTACTGCAACTTAATAGATATAAGTTCCAGCAAAACCGCTTCATATTACTTAAGTTCTCGCTATATTGAACGATCATATTGTTACAACGTGGGAAAACTACAAAAAAAATCACTACTTTGGTACACCCACATATATGTACATTGTATAAGCATCGAGTATATAACCAGAAATAGAGACGAAATAAGGGCCTTATATTCCTGGTAACACATTAGGGATACAGCTTTTATAAATATCAACTCCCGTTTGCACTGAAATATAGACAGGCGAACTACTGACCTGTGTGTACGTCTCCGTATATTCCAAAAAATGTTCTGTATTTATTGTAATAAAGATAATATCTCTAACAATGCCGTGCAGTTCTATTCGGTGGTGTGGCAAAAACAGCAAAACATCGAATTACAAGATAAACGGAATCACATTTCATCGATAATTAAATATTAAATATGTAATTTTGCAATTTACGTCCATTATAGCAAAGGTCAAGTTAGATTGGTCGATTTGAAGTGAAACCATTGACGACACCCGTCAATTGTTTCGAACTCGGGTCAGCCAATCGGAGCGCAGTTGTCACAGTAATGATATGGCAGAATAGTTTTCAAACAAATTAAATGACATTTCGTCTCTATTTCTGGTTATATACTCGATGTGTACAAGTAACACTTCTAACATCATGGCCCATAATCTGACCCGGTTAATGGACGTTTGCGTACAAAAACTACATTCGTTTTAAATTATGCAGTTACAAACAACTTCTTTTATTTTTATATTAAAAAATATTGAAAATCTACGCGGTTAGGCGATTAATACACTGCACCGCGCCCCGCGACGGAGCTCGGGACGCGGAGACACGCGCGCGGTGGCGGAGACGCAGATCTGCGTCAAAGGTTGAATCCATAACGTGCGATACTCAAGGTAGGATGGAACCTTCCTTTCAGATTTCCAACCTCTGACCTTTACAAAACCTGTGAGGTCCTTTCAGTACGTCAGCTGTTTATCCTACACACGGCTTTAACCAAACACACACAAATCTCCTTCGACTCTGACAAAATAAACACTGTTCGGCGTAAATGCACTGTTTGCCCTTCGACTTCAGTTTCCACTAGTTGTGCACAGCGTCATTTCTGTTTCTTGGGAGGCTATTTATATAATAAGATTAACAGTACTCTTAATGTCTACCCCTTATGCAGAGCGAAATGTAAAAAAATTATTACTGACTGGCTGATCACACACAATAATTATGACTCCACTGAAAAACTATTAACTATACTAAAATAAGTTATATTACACATATATACACCCCAACACGCGCCCACACACACACACACACACACACACACACACACACACACACACACACACACACACACACACACACACACACACACGCACAGAGATTTTTCTATTTTTTCTATTTGTTATATTTTGTAATTAGCTATCAATTTTATTTTACTCTTTAATTTTCATTATTTTTGTTAAATTTTATTAGTGTTACTTTTCTGGCAAACTTGTCAAAACGGTTTGAGCCTGGTGATCTGTAACACAGGTCCCCAACCTAGTACAGACTCCAGCTCTCACTAAGGTGCTTCATATTTAACATGAAATGTAACAAATCCGCATTTTGTAAACGTTTTTGAGAGAAATAAAGCATTTTGTATTTTTTTTGTATAGACATAGAAAAAATGGGGAGGTCGTCTCGATATGGTCAAAATGACCATATTACCATATAAAATTAGTTTTAGCGCCATCTATCGTGTAATAGTTAGCTATTATAAACTAGTAGTTTTTTTTTCCTAAAACGCCACCTGTTGGTGAATGGCTGAACCAGGATGAAAAAAATACTGAAATATTGTAATATAACTCTTATTCAAGTGACTGTAGGTTTAATTTTGTTAAATTTTAAAATTGTGTTACGTCGTTTTCACGTTTTAAGCCCTACCCAATCAAAATCTTTAAGTTATGGTAGTAGATAATAGAGCGTAAAGTTTGAATTGCACACAAGCTAAAAAGTGGCGACATCGGCACCCGATCTTACATAGCGTCATTACATATCTCCCCTTTTTTTCTATATCTATGGTTGAATCTGCGCGGGGGCAGCGGTCTAGCGGCCCGCGTCACTTAAAGTACTCGCTTCGCAGTTGATCGCCGAAGTGATTGTATATGTAGCCGAGATCCTTCTTTGAAAAGGATGCTTAATAATACAGAACTCGTTCAGGACGCTGCAATTATACTATTTGGTTTTTATTTACTCAAATAAAACGACACCGAAGATATTGGATACATCCCTTTTTACGAATCAGTTCGATAAATGGATAATTTCAACTTCATAAGAAAGATTTAAGAAAATATGAAGATAAAGATAGATTTGGTCGATTTTCAAAAGCAAATACAAATTTATCGACGTCGGGATCTATTGTAGAAAACTGAACATGTCCTTAAGCTTAATGTGTGCGCGGTAGTGCGGAGCGCAGTGCGCCACGCCCTGCGGTTCGCCGGAGAAGCGTTGCCAGTGTGTTCGACGGCGCGTGTTTTCCATACGAACTGAGGTACTCCAGTACAACGTTAAAAAACGCAGCTCCGCGCTCCGTCGCGGGGCGCGGTGCGGTGTGATACACACACCTTAACATTATTGTAACGTCTACGTACATTTGATTTACATGAGCCCACGCCCACGCGCTCGCCGCTACTCTGAATAAAGTCTGACGTGGGTCTAACAATGCAATAAGTTTTGATATTAAACATATTTTTAATTGTATGAAAGCCCTAATTAGGTTATTGTCAGACTTTCTGCCAAAACAAATATCATCATACACGTGCGCGGTCCGTCGCAGTAGGAATAAGACCGAAATCGTTATCTGGGTGATCAAACTAATCAACAATATATACAAAACACACAAATATTTAGCACTAACATATTTTTGTTTATGAAAATACATTTTTTTATTCCATATTCCCAATACCCACAATAAAGTGACACATGCTTTATAAAGTACACATATTTTTCTATAAATCTCGCCATAAGTCCTTTCTGTACGCCGTGGTTATAGTTTTTATACTTTGGTGAGCCATAATCTTGAATGTAACTTGTTAGATATAAGCTACAACAAAAACCGTGACATATATATTTCTCACTATCACTCAACGACCTGTGGAATGATCTTATCGACTACCGCGACACCAGTCGACAGTTAGTGACTTTACAAGGTCCCGAAATCCCGGAACCGCATCTAATTCCGGGCGCAAGTCAACATCTGTATGTTATTTACATAATTTTATCCAAATTTATTCCAATAAATCACACCGATTACCAGCTCTCATATACTCACGATAAATTCATAAATAGGAGCACTAAAGTGCCGGTGAGTGTAAGTTCGCACCCAGAAACGATTAAGGCAAGTTCATTTTATAAACTGGTTCTACCAAACTGCTTAACGGCTGATCAACTTGGATCGAAACTTGACTAGAAAGTAGAATAACTCACGTGAAAACAAATGCTCGCAATGAGCGCTATGTAGATGCGTGTGCGCACCATTGCGATCAGTCCCCGAATGACTGGTCAGTAACATCAATCGCCATAGTTGACGACAGATTAACATAGTAGTACAGGACGATGCAGTAAGTTCGCTCTTCTGTACGTTCTATCGCCGATACATACTTTTGCGAACGCAAGCGACAAATGTGGCCGAAAAAAGGTGGTTGAATAAATTGGTGTGAATTAGTGGCTATTTAAAACAAGCTGTAAACGCCATGTCGCTAGTACAAACCGCTGTGAAAATTGTGGAAAACCTCTCATTGAAGTACGGATTCGTCTTCACGTGTATTCCTCGGTGTACCTAAGTACTTACCTACGTTTTGAAATATTTTTAGGTAGGTATATTATAGTGATGTTTAGATACATAATACATCATTTGCTTACAGTGTAGGAATATTTCGTGAGGGGGAATCAGCAAGACTGAAATGCGACATCTGAAGATACCTGAATAGCCCCAACCAGCATTTGCTTTAGAACAGCGTGTGGGGTTTGGGTATAAGTCTACGTGAAGACTCAGGCCGAACTGCGGGATGTCGTGTACACATTATTAAACACCAAATACAAATCAAACAAGTATTTATTAAACACCTTGTATATTGAAACCTTACTTCTGATAACCTTGATTTTGCCTTGAGCTTATTTACAAACAAAAATTCACGTATACAGAGTGTTTTTATTTTATGAGACAGTATGGGGAAAACAGAAACCACAGAAGATACAAGGAAACTGTCTTAGGAACCATCGAGTCTTTTTTTGTGAAAACAATTTTGGCATAGTCAAGCGTGTGTTGTCCATAAAAATGAACAAAATTGATCAAAATGTTTTTTAGTGCTGATCGACCCAGTTTTATGTAAGGATCATTTCATTGTATGGGACGAAAAAAGTCGGAAGAGCAAAACGTTTAATAAAATGGCCTTCGAAGCCTTCGAAGTCTCGCGAAATGCCGCTTTCGTCTAGATGTCACGTTATAGAGGGTTGTCACCATTTATTCAGTCTGTTGGGGTGGTGTTCTACTACTATGTCCATATTGGGAATAATAAAAAAAAGGTATTGATGATGGGCTTTCTCACAACACGTTTTGTAGTATGTGCAGTAGTTGTAGCGTTTAGTATGCAAGGAATATAATTAAAAAAATATATGTTTAAATGTTTTATTTAGGACAAAACACTCTCTCACTCAATTTTTTCAAAGTTTTTCCGATTAATCAGTTCTTCCACGTGCTTCAATTCAAACCATGCATCTGAAAATAAAATAACGATTTAATTAACTACTTTGTTTATGTACTGTATCAAGTCTGTCAAGAATTTAATCATGATATTCATAATCATCAACCTCGCTAACAGCTAAAAGGATACCCATATTGCTTTTATTTGAATAGTCATGTCCGCCGTTTTGATTTAAAAATAAATGCTATACTCGTAATGAGCAACCCCAAATACCTCGAAAACGATACCCAACTTGCCATTATTCGAAAAGTCGTATCCGCCATCTTGTACTTAGAAATGAGTGCTATACTTATTTGTAATGAGCACCCCCAAATACCTCGAAAATATATAATTCCTCCTGAGTCTTCTATAACACTCTGCGCCCATCTCGTGGTCGTTGCCATCTATCTTCTTGTCTCTAAATCTTACTTATCCACAAAGGCTCCTTCCAGATATAGACACTCCATGATCTTTATTGACTTGAATAAAATGCACACGAATACGCATACAGTAATAAAAATCATAGTAATCATTCAGTTCACACACAATAAAGATGTCCGACTATCTGTAAATAAGGTAAGGGGTAAATAAGGCATCAGTGTGTTATATTATGACGAACGTTTATTGTCTAACTAAAATGAAATTTACCATGAGGTTTTCAGTGAAGGAAAATATCGTAAATGAATCCTGCACGGCGAAGAAGGTTGACTACCCTCGGGAAAAGTGTGAAGTCCCCAACCTGCATTGGGCCAGCGTTATGGACTACGACCTAAACCTACGCCTGAGAGGAGACCCGTGCCCACGGTGGGACGTATCGATAGGTTGATGAAGACGTAAGGAAGATTTATGGATGCTGCTGAATCACAGATGGAAGTAGTATGAGTGAGCGTGGGAGATGTGTATGTGTACATTACCAAATTTGTGTGTACTATTTAGTTTATTACAACGCCATCTAACGGACATAATGTTAACTTCAATAAGGAGTCATTCCTCAGAAAGGTAAATATATATTTGAAAAGGGAACTCAAAGGCTGCTGTATTTTAATTCGCCACTAGAGGGCAGTTTCATTAATTTAACACTGCTTAATCCAGAAATGATGCTTTATCAGTGAGTGCTTGTTTCTTTTTTATAGCATTAATAGCGAATCATTTTACTGATAAGGTAATACTTATAAATGGTTACCTAAATCACAATCATGGCATTCTCAACAAGACCATGTCACATTGGCTGCTACACGAAATTGTTGTTATGGTCCAGACGAAAATGCAGATTTCTTATTTACTTACTTAGACTTACGTGTTATTATTCTTGAATATTTTAATCGATGATTGTCGTTCTTGCTTGTGTTTGTTATTGTTTGTACAGACTTAACAATTACGAGGCATGGCACAATATCAGCGAGGGCAATGGGCTTTATAGGTATCTGTAACTGAGTCATAGACCAATTTTACATGTTTGTTTTATTGTTGATTTGTATTTTGTTTATGGCATGTCTGCTACTTGTTATTTCTGAGGTAGTAGTGGAAATTGTTCTCCTTGTACATTATTTTATAATTTCTGTAGTAAGGCGTTCTGTATAGTGAATAATGTACACCTCTTATTTAATATTTATTCCTTAAGGTAGCTTTTACATGTTACAGTGTCTCCAGTGACAAATACACACCAGGTGAAGCCTGAAAACTAGCAAATTGTTGAGGCTTTATTTTTTCTTCGGCACAGCTTTGAGCTATTTTATTTTAAACGTTTTATACGTTTTATTTTCTTAGCTATCCCTCTACATTGGATTCTAATAAATTTCAAGTTAACAAAGTTCATAAATTGAGACCGAATCGATCCGTTAAACATATAACAATTTGAAACCAGTTAAGTGCGAGTAGAATTCGTGAATCCAGAGTTGTATACTCGAAACCTATAGGTACTTATCTAGAAATACATGAGACAATACAATACGTTCGGAAACTATAAAATTTAGGCAAAGAAATAATGCTCGTGGAAGCGAAACGTTTCGTACGAAATAGAGGAATATCTATCATCAAAGTGAAGAAAACATCTTGATGAAATTTGCACGTCCTTAACGGTTCACAACCATAACCACAAATGTCTGAGGAGACAGTGGAGCACATCAGGCTTAAAGCCAAATACAACCCGAGGGCCGATCGGTCGGAGTCCCGCCACAACCGAAATTTTAATTCGTTTGTGGTAAGAGTGCCGACTGAACATCTGTCGGCCTTCATGAAGGAAGAGTTGTGACCGAAGAGTGTCAATATCGGCGATTCCGCGGCCGGTGCCGGTTACCTGACTGCGCCACACGTCGCCCACAAGCATACGTGTAGATTAGGTATTTAGTTTATTTTATTGTCGTAGTTGTATGTATGTTAGTCCTTAAGGTATATATAACATGGGTCATGTGGCCTGAAATAAATTTCTAAATAAAAATAAATGAAATAAAATAACAAAGAAAACGTGTAAAGTTCCCCTTTCAGGAGACCCGTGCCTACTAGTGGGACGTATAATAGGTTGATCATGATCTTGTATACAAGTAGGTAAGTTTTGTTTATAAAAGAAAGCCATGTTATGGGCAATTTAAGACGTAAACGCATTGACCATGCGTGAACGTCAATAACGCTTCATTAGGATCAAGCACATACAATACAACATAAGGCCCGCTTGACGTCGACTACGTCATCATTTTTCATTGGGTCTTATAATTTTTATTCTAAGTAGCACAGAGCTCGTGTAATTCTTAGAGGATAGAAAAGAACTCAGTCTAAGGTGTAATTTTAGCATGCATAATATTTTTTTTGTGAAACGTCAACCATTATTGTTTAATGTTAATGCAATCAGATTGTTTCATTACCATTAATTGTGAAATGCAATACAGTGGATGCCTTTTATAGATACATACATCAGTCGTTTTATCCCTTTACAACGCCGACAAAGTCGCGTACAAATGCTAGATTTGCGCTGCGAAAATACTCGAATGAGTCAAAAGCCTCGCTACTTCGTTCCCTTATGTACTTACGTATATAATGTAAGAGTACTTTTCCCCCTTCTACCTTTAAATTCTTGCATTTCTTAAACTGAACCTAAAGCTTGTACATGGAAGGTTAAATCTTGTCTAAACTTGTTGAAACATATCCCGGCGCCACCCAGACATCGCTACGCCAACAAAAATACGAAATCCATAAGATAATTCTTCAAACAAAACCCAATAAGGTCTCAAAATGTAAGGTGATAGAGTTTCATTTTCATCAAACAGAAGTTTGGGGAGAGAAAAGTCAATACTGAAATTGCATTTTATATTTCATTGGTATCAAACCTTAAATCGCAGAGCAATAGAATAACATTTTGTTTGTTTCGAAGATGGTGGATAGGCCATATTTCTGTCGCGGGGGAAATTTTGGCGCCAGACGGGCTGACGCCATTTTGTGGATAGTTTCGGGAGGCACAGACATTTCCGCATTCAGCCTATTATGCCGTTAATTTACTGTTATGTGCGGCGCAACTTTTGCTTTCACAATCTTTGTTATTGGGCTCTACTTTGGGGGCATTTGGGGTTTACCGGATTTCTTGTGAAAATCACAATTCGTCAGAACTGATCATTGTTGCGTCGCTGAACATGGTCGTGCTGAACGGCCCCCGATACACGAAATTACGCAGGAAAAGAACGTTCAAACCAAGTTCAAACACATTTTATTTTAAATTTAGAAAAAGTAACAGCGACAAAATATTGTACTGTATAATTTGTTAATTCAATAATGCATAGTACGTACATACATAGTACATTATTTCAAAGAACACAAAT